GACAAATTAAGGGTACATCTATGGGGTCATCGCTTGCAGGACTTATGGTGGAGGTCGTCATGCAACATCTAGAACCCATAGCAGACAGTAACTTCACCATAATAAAAAAGGACCAATTAGAGAACATCCACAGAATTATCAATACCATTTTAAAGGAATCCAGTTTACTAGAAGAGAGAGAGAGAGGGAGAGGGGGGAGGGAGAGAGTGGGAGGGAGAGGGAGGGAGAGGGGGGAGGAAGGGGGAGGGAGGGAGAAGGAGGGAGAGGGGGAGGAAGGGAGAGGGAGAGAGAGGGAGGGAGGGAGGGAGAGAGAGAGAGAGGAAGAGGGAGAGTTTTCTGTGGGAAATGGGTCCAAATGGCTCTTTGAGTGTTTAAGGTTGCTGAAACAGATGGCCAAGCTAAGTGCCTGAAGGATCCCATCCTGTCACTCAGAGTCCAGGCGCTTTAGCGAGCAGCGCGCTGGATTCATATTTGTGGTCCGCGGGATTTAAAACTTAGTGGTCTCTGAGGTCCAAAAGGTTGGTGACCCCTGAGAATATAAACGGACAGCAAATAGCACTCCTTACCAGCACTGATGCTGTTACCTAGTTTGTGTAATAAAATGTCTGCAAGAAAACAAACAAGCTCAGAGAGCACCAAGGATCTCTCAGTGTTAACTACTGTAAAGAAGATATAACTATTCTCTCTGTGTGTCTCTATGTCTCTATATTTCTTCTATAAGTTTTGTATTTTATTCTCTAAAACAAATTAAACTGCATGCTGCTTTTTACACAAGATGTTTTCATATGTTACAATTAAAATGTTAAACTAACCTGTTGATACCTGCAGCATTAACCAGATAGCTTATATGACCAAGTTTGTTCTCTATTTCTTTAAATGTTTTTTGGATGGCTTCTTCTTTGGTGATATCACAACTCAGTGCAAGATGACCTGCTGTTTTGAAATGAAACTCATGATATGTAAATTACTCAAAATCAGGTTTGCAATTTTTAAAGCAGAACTATTGTAAAAAAAAAAAAATTAGTAATATTTAGATAACTGAAAACATCAAACAGTAAGGATGCAAGTTTTTTCTGAACAGTATTCATTGGTGAAAAATATTATTTTGTTAAAATATATCCACGCATTCAGCTCCTGATCAAACAGCAGGATATTAATCCAACACAACACTTTTTCCCTATTAAAAGTGACTTTCAAAGTGTCTCCAATCAAACAAGTTAGCAAATTGCTATTAGATAATGGGCTGTTTTAGTACTTCTATATACTAAGGTACTGTATATGTGAAAAACAAATATCAACATGTACTTACCTCCTAATCTATCCACTGTAGCTTGAGCCCTGTCCAGATTTCTTGCTATAACAGCCAGGCAATATCCTTTCTGTGCTAGGAGCTGTGCGACAGCCTGACCAATTCCCCGAGAACCTCCAAAAATGGCACAAACCTTTGACATCTCCAAAATACAACTGACAAATAATTACTATTATTGATAGCTAGTAGACATATATTGCTCCTGCATATGAAATAATTTCTGACTATTGTGTCTAATTCTGATTCCATTCAGATTTGTAAATAATGCCACATTTAATTTCTAATGTACCAAAGATAGGGCAGCGTCTTTGAGATAACATTTAAGTGAAATATTCTTGTTAACTCATACTTTGAGATTATGTCCAAGTCTTTTTATACTCTGCATAAATTCTTCCTAACACTGCCAAAAGTTGACTTGAAAAGTCAGTCTTCATCTGCACTGTGAAGATAATAGACCAATTAAATATTACCCATTTTAATAATATAGTCCTCAACTTACGACAATTGAGCCCAAAATTTATGTTGCTAGGCGACAGTTGTTAAGTGAGTTTTGTCCCATTTTACGACCTTCCTTGCTATAGTTAAGTGAATCACTGCAGTTGTTCAGTTAGTAATACACTGTTAATCTGATTTCTCCATTGATTTTGCTTGCCAAAAGGTTGGAAAAGATGATCACATGACCCTGGAACACTGCAACCATCATAAATAGGAGTCAGTTGCCAAGCATCTGAATACTGATCACATGACCATGGAGATGATGCAACAGTCATAAGTGTGAAAACAGTCATAAGCAGTGGTGGGATTCATATTTTTTACTACCGGTTGTGTGGGTGTGGCTTGGTGGTCATGTGACTGGGTGGGCATGCCTGAAAGGCAACTTGGGCTATAAAAAATAAGTTTGTCTCTCTCAAAACATCCCAGAGCCGTGTATATGAAAACTGAATAGGTGATCTCATCTGTAAGGTTGATCACCCTGTGTTTCACATCTTCTGCTAGAGCTGTACACTGAATAGCTTTCTCAAACACGTTGAGAGCCTGAACAGAAAAGAAGAAAAAGGACTCTGGAACAGAAAGACACAAGGTGCCATTCTCAAGAACATGAAGGGGTTACATAGATGGCCATTAGCAAAACAGAAGGTCCAAGGTTTGACTCTCTGGAAGATATTTTTTCCCATTGTATCTGGGGTTTTTTCTTTCTGCTTGGCTCTCAGCCATTCTTCTGTAGGAAGTTAGCACCCACCCCTCTCCTAGAAAAATGAAATATCCTAGTTAATATTAAAAAGGCAGACTATTTCCCCTAAAAAAATAGAAACTCAGAATCAAAAACTCACCTCAGAAGCAGAAGCTCACTCCCACCTTTGTTAATGGGTGGACCATTAAGGCCTGGGCCAAAGTATTCTACATAACAAAGGCCTCTACCATCTCACCACCTGGCCTAGGAAGATTGCATCAGCCAGCACTCAGGTGAAGCCATGTGGTCCAGACAAAGCCTACAAAGTTAGTTAAGACCCCCAACCCTTGGAAGCTTGACAGCCAATGGGATACATTTCTTACACAGGAACAGGAAACACTAAGGTGGGGCCCAACAGAGGGTATAAAACTGAGGGTCTCTCGGCATCTCTGTCCTTTTTCTTTTCCTTCACCCAACATCTTGAAGCATGTGATTGTCCTTTTCACTTTGGAGCTCCAAGCCATGTGGTCCTGTCCACCGTTAGACCATTTTTCTAAACAGCCTCCATATTTCCAATGTCTTACCCTCCTCTTGGAACTGAACCCAGAAGGATAATTCTTCCAACACTTCCTTATCACAGACAAAAAAATCCCAATGGGCAGCTGTAAGGTGTCTGCAAAAAACCTGAGAATATCTTGGACTCCATAAGGACAGAGGGAGCTATTTTTTCTACAAAAACCAAACAGCATGTTCTACTATTAGTTACCTTCAGGGGAAACTGGTAGATAGGGGTTGATTTTGTTCAGGTCATTTAATATAAAATACAATAGGGATGCCCTTTCTGCTGCTGGTCTATAGTTCTCTCTGGCTTCATTAATTTGTATTTCAGTAACTTTAGCCTCTTTCACATAAAAAAATACCAAAAAAATTTTTTTTTAAAGAATAACAATATTTTTTAATTTTCTTTTTTTAAAGAATTAAAAATAATCTGTGATAGATATTGTGCTTTAGAGAATTACAATGTTTTCTACATTACTTCGCTTTCACTGCTGGGCTGGTAAAGCACATAGACATATATTTAAATTGATCATGACTTTTGCATGGCTTTTTTAAACTTCTGTTTTGTATTTATTACCTGAAGTTCAAGCCAGCCATGGTGTATGAATTCAGGAGACCCTGTTATTTTATTTATTTATTTATTTATTTGATTTGCCAATTGTTTACAAGATAATAAGTATAAGAGTATACATAGTTGTGAATACATGAAATGGGTACATATATGAAAAATAAAAGAATAAGAGAAACAATAGGACAGGGACGGTTAGGCACGTTGGTGCGTTATCCCTTTCTCATCAATATAATGGAACTGTTTGTGAGCAGTGGAGACAAATTAATCTCCCACATACCAGGATCCTCATGTGCATTTTCCATGTAAGGTTCATCATTTTGGATTAGAATATACTAAAAAAAAAAAAAACCTGAATCATCCATTTTACTAACTCAATTTAAAAGTTTAATGCACTCTATAATATGAATCCTGATGAAAAAAAAAAAACACGAATTGGCTTCAAATAATGCAGTTCCTTTTAAATAACCTGGTTCTCTTCGCCCAATCTATCTCAGAGTTGGGAAGAAAAACGGGAAGAGAAAAGATTTAGTTTATGATGCCTTTAGCTCCTGAATAACAGGTGGGACATAAATCACTAACTAAAAAAATAAGCCAGTCCACCTATTTACGCAGTTCAAGCATGGGACTAAAATAGTAATCACTGATGGGGTGGTTGAAGAACGTTCCAGTATATCCTTAAACAATCGCCCTCAAAGTCTCCATTAATTTTAAATGCCAGAAAGCACAAATCCCAGAGATTTAGCAGTCAACTCAAGAAAAGAGATGAAGTACTTCAGAGCAGCGGCAGCAGCGGAAGGCGAGCAACGGAGGGGGGGGGGGGAAGGGGGGGGGGGACCCGGGGGGGGGGGGGGGAAATGCGGCGGCAGCGAGGCGGCAACGGCGCGGCGGCAAGGAAGGCAACGGCAACAATCTGGGGTCGTCGGGGCTTCCGGGACCAGCTCCCGCCCCACTGCAAGCTGCAGCCTATCAGCTGTTCTCTCCTGCTGCCGCCCACGCAGTTGTGGGATTCGATTTCTTTAAACTACCGGTTCCGTGGGCGTGGCTATGTGGTCATGTGACCGGGTGGGCGTGGTTAGGTTGGTCAGGTGACTGGGTGGATGTGTCCAGGTCCAAGGTCATAAATGCAAGGAGTCATTCACTTTTTTCAGCCCTCTGAATAGTTAGTCCCTATGTGTAGGGAAATAAAACTCAGCTAGTCCTCGACTCAGGACCACAACTGGGCCTAAAGAGTTGCTTAAGTGAGAGGTTTGTTCAAAGTGAGTTTTGCCCCCGTTTTATAACCTATCTTGTCACTGTGGTGAAGTGAAGCACCGCAGTTGTGAAATGAGTGATACGATTGCTAAGAATAATGTGATGGTCATAAATGTGAGGACCAGTCATAAGCGTGAGGACCAGTCATAATTCACTTTTTTCAGCCCTCTGAATAGTCCCTATGTGTAGTGTAGAGCAATGAAGTAAGGTTGTGTCCAGCCGGATGTTCTGGAACACTCCAAAACAACAGCTGAACTTTATTTGGGAAAAGAAAAAATATCTGAATTTTAGCTATTTTAAAATAATCCAGGCAGCTTTTCTTCCCCAGACCAATTTCTACCTGTCAAGTGGACTCTGTCTGAAGGGGTGGGTCATGGGGAGAGAGGAGGCCCAGCTGTCCTGACACCAGGTCAGCCTGAAGAGATTCCAGTTTCCTTCCCTTATTTTAACAGATTAACAAACAGACCTTGTAGGTCATCTAGTCCAACCCCCGCCCCGCCCAAGCAGGAGGCCCTTACACCATTTCTGACCGATGACAGTCCAGTCTCTTCCTGAAAGCCTCCAGTGATGAAGCTCCCACAACTTTTGAAGACAACTTCTGTTCCATGGGTTCATTGTTCTCACTGTCAGAGCATGGGTGGGAGGGAAGGGTCACACAGTCCCTGGACAGAGCAACTTACAAAAATTAAGTGACTGGTGAAGACTGGCAAGCGAAGAAAGCGGATGAGGAGCAATCAGTAATATTCAGTTACTTTTAAGAGTGTCTGACACTATAGTTAGCATTTAAAAGATGTTACGGAAGAGGAACAAGTTTCACCAGACAAGACAGGCTGAGCTGAAAGTGGATTTGAAAATAACTATCTATAAAAAAAATATGTTACACTGTATATATAAAAGAATGGCTGATATTTTCATAATTACAATTAATTAATTGAAAAATAAACACTTAAAATGGAAATACAATTAACAAACCAAGGGAATTTGTTATTTTGTGCCAGTATTGGCACAAAAATCTTTCCTAGCCAAGTCTACTTTCTGATTGATTATCTAATGCAGGGGTCTTCAAACTTGACAGCTTTAAGACTTGTGGACTTCAACTCCCAGAATTCCTCCTCCAGTCATATTAGCTCAGGAATTCTGGGAGTTGAAGTCCACAAGTCTTAAACTTGCCAAGTTTGAAGAATCTTGATCTAATTCCTGCCTGTCCACAGATTCTTAGCTTTATTATTCTCCACAATCTCCTGTGGAAACTCCTTGATGGCTGGCTGGAGAATTCTGGGAGTTAAAGTCCATACATCTTTCAGCTGAGAGACTCTGAGGGTTCTATCTAGTGTGGTAAATCCCTGCTTCTCTGGATCTGGTGTTTAGTGCCTGTTCTTGTGCTGTTATGATCAGTGATAGTGCTGCCTTTTACACACACACACCACTTCAGGATGGGACGTGTAGAGGCCTCAAGGGGCAAAACATGGGCCTGTTTTCAGGCGGCAGAGTGGTTCTCAGAGCCAAGCAGGCAAAAAACGGGACATGCAGAGGCTTCAGGCCAAAAGAAACAGGCCTGTTTTTGGGTGGCAGAATGGTTCTAGAGACCAAGAAGGCCCAAAACAGGTCGTGTGGAGCCTCAGGAGGCCCAAAACAGGCCTGTTTTTGGGTGGCAGAGTGGTTCTGGAGGGTGAGGAGGCCAAAAACGGGACACACAGAGGCCTCAGGAGGCCAAAAATGGACCCTCCCTTTCTTTTTCACTGGAGGCCAGGGAGGCCAAAAATGGACCCATTTTTGGCTTCCCTGACCTCCAGTGAAATAGAAAGGGAGGGAGGGAGGGAAAGACACACACACACACACACACACACACAGAAGTCCCTCACACACACACACACCAAGACAGCCACATCCCTTCGCTGATCTGCTTTCCACCCCCAGGAGCATAACTAAGTTTAATTTACATTGCTTTTTTTAATTAAACTTTATTAGTTGTGTGCATTGTTTAATGGACTGCTAAATTTGCCATGCCCACCCAGCTGGTCCAGCCTCCTAACAGTCTGAGGGACTGTGAATTGGCCCCCCTGTTAAAAAAGTTTGAGGTCTCCTGTTCTAGAGTCTCAACATCTTTTTTATAGTGTGGTGACCAAAACTGGATGCAGTACTCTAGGTGTGGTCTTACTAAGGCTTTATAGAGTGGTAATAGTACCTCCCTTGATCTTGATTGTATCCCTCTGTATTATCTGTTACATAATGTATCTTTTTGTGTGCCTATATACACTTTATACTATGTAATATGTATGTACACATATGGCATATATACATAGGATTAAATAGTGTATTTTGGATGTTCGGTAGTGGTAAATAAATAGAGAAGGAAACTGTATCTTGTTGAGGCCTTTGAGGGGCCAGGTGAGGCAAGCCACCTGGTGAGGCGAGGCCGGGCATGACAAGGAGTGGGCGGGGAGGGACGAGGTGGGGTCTGGGATGTCGAGGAGAGGCCAGGCAAGGCACCCCTTGATGTGAATGACGTTGAGTTGGCCACACCCACCCTGTCACATGACCACCCAGCCATATCTACCCATCTGGCCATTAGGGCAGAGAACCAGTTGTTAAATTATTTGAATCCCACCACTGAATATATTTCATTCAAGTTAAATTATTAGTCCAAATCGCTACAGTAGATAAATTCTTTTTTGGCAAAAAAAAAATATCTTTTCAATGCTATCTGAGTATCTTTTTATTTTTCTAGGTTCTTTACAAATTGTGTCAAATTACTTTTTTTGTCATATGTTAATTTTTTTTCATCATTTTGGCATCTAGAAGTTAGGGCTAACTTGCATAATTTTACAAGTACCTTTGTGCATGATATTGACAAGTAACAAACTCTTTAAAAAGATTCTAATCAGAGTTTAGAAACAACCTTTCTTCATTGTACTATATAAATTCATCATTAATGTTGGAACCTGACTGGATAATTTTTATACTTTGGATTGGTTTTTTGTGTAATGTTTAAGTTTAATCATTTGCCTGTTTTTCAGAGTTTTACTCTGAAAAGTTGAATTTCCAGCTTTATTTATTTCTCTGGGAAACAAGCCGTTATTGCTGCTACTTGAAGTATGCATTCCCACAAGCTTCTAAATGCTTTCCAATCACACAATACATCATTAACCTCAGGCATTCATTCACAAGCGGATCAAATTCATTATCTAACATTGTCAAGGCTTCCTTTGGTCTATTTCAACACTCAGATTGCTATGCTAGGAAAGGAACTTTACAATAACTCACTGGCTCTTATTTCTCAACTAATTTTCAAGGCAGTTCTCTTTCTGTGATTTCTCGATTTGCAATGGAGTTGTAGCCAACATGCCAGATGCACTTTTTCATCAAGAAGCTGGGCTTGAAAACTGCCATTACATGGCAGTCTTTGTTTAAACCTAACAAAATCACACTAAGATTTTTATCAATATTACACTGTCTAAATTTTGCGTGAACAATACTTCAAGGATTTGTTCCTCAAAGAGGTTTAATTTATTTAAAATACTTTATAGGGAGCATATGAATTTGTAAGAGGCTGGCTTTATAGATTTTTTTTCTTGAAACTGAGACAATGTAACATTAGGTTTTTAGAAGCTGAACTTCGATCGTCATCAGAATTATTAGAAGCTATTGTGATGGTTGTCTCAGCCTGAAACATGTTCCTTAAAAATTGACGAAGGATTGGTGACAAACAATATCAGCATTTACTATGTCACCCCAAAATAGCTTATTTTACAAGCTACAGTATTACCGTATATACTTGAGTATAAGCCGAGTTTTTCAGCCCATTTTTTGTGCTGAAAAAATCCCCCTCGGCTTATACTCGAGTCAGATTCCCCTCTGAAAAAAAAATGGTGTGGAGTTCCGGAGCTGGGCAGGCGCTTCCCTGCTTCCGTGTTTCCTTTGCAACTTTTAAGCATGGGGGCTGTTGGGAGTTGCTGCCGCCGGTGCGGCCCCAGTCCCGTGTCGCCTCTTGCAGACAGTGTGTGTGTGTGTGTGTGGAAGGGGGGGGAGGGAAAGCAGGCTTGTTCCCAGAAGTCCTCCAGGCGCAGTTCCTTCCTCAGTGGCCGTCAGTGCCTGCCTTCCTTGCGGCTGCCGTGCAGGACCCTGAGGTGGCCAAAGGCAGCTGCCGGCCACCAGCACGGGGCAAATGGCCGCACGACCTTTTCCTTGGCTCGCGACCTTGGCTGGACCTCCGCGGCCTGCCCTTCCCTTCCCGTCTTGGGTGTGCTGTGGCCGTTCTTCAAACCTTGGCCGGCCGGCCGAAAGGGCAGCCTGGCCCCTTCCCCGTTCACCTGTCTTTCCCCTGCCTGCCGTGTAGGCCATGGAAGGGAGGAGGGACCTGGAGAGGACGTTAAACGCCAGGGTGAAGGAGAGTCTGGGGTCTCTGGAAGATGCGAAGAGGGGAAAGGTAATCGGGGGGGCGGCCTCCTCTGGGGCAGCTTCGGAGGGAGGGCAGGCCACGCCCAGTGGTGCCCCTTTGCCTCTTCCCTTTGCCAGGCGATGGCGGAAGAGAAGCTGTCGGTCTGGGAGAGGCTCAGAAAACAACGCGAGCCGCCACCACCACCTCCTCCTCCTTCTCCCGAGCGGACTGAAAGCAGCTGGGGCTGAGGAAATGAAGCCAAGCGGAGCCAAAGCCACCTTGGCTCACGTTGTTTTCTGAGCCCGCGAGCCTAGAGCCAGGGCGCTTTCATTGCACGGCGGAGCTTCTTGTCTC